AAAATCAAAACAAGAACAAGAAGATGCAATTATCGAACAAGCAAAAGCAAAACAAAAAGTACTAGATACAATTATCGAACAAGCAAAAGCAAAACAAGAAGAAGAAAACGCAAAACAAAAAGTACTAGATACAAATATTGAACAAAAAAGAAGACAAAAATTACAACTTGAAGTCGAAAAAAGAAAGCTTGAAGAAAATATTTCAGGAGCAAAGCGACTGAAGACATATGATGAACAAGTAACAGCAACATCTGATCGAAGCAACACTTCATCATATAAACATCACCGTTATTACAAATTCTTTATAAAAGATGATATAAAAAAATTCAGTATTAAGTCGTTGTTATATGATATCGATAATATTAATGATAATATGATCCAAATTTTTGAAGAGTCTTTTCAGCCATTCATCTCACAAAAAAAAATATTACAAGATGTTGTTCAATCTACATTGAATGATTCAATAAACAAGTTATTTGATGAATTTAACAATTACACATCATTAAAATGTCTAAATACCAGTTCTAAGAAATATTTAAAACTAGAAAAAAGTCCTGATTGCACTTTTATATATAAAAATATTAATATTGATATTAAAGATCAATGTACATCTTTAGAAGATTTTGTTATTTTTGTTGGTGAATTTAAATCAACCATGCAATCAATTGATTCACTAGCACATATTGCACAATTATGCGAATATTTAGTTCATGTATTAATGACACAAAATCGTACAAAAGTCTATGGTTTTATAACAAATCTTCAATTTATAAGATTCTATTATGTTGAAAAAGAACAAAATTCACTTTCCTTTAAATATTACCAAAGTGAGAAATTAAAAATGTTTTATATGCCGTCTAATTTAAAAAAGTCGTCATCGGCATCATCATCATCAGCTGTTAATAAAAAAGCATCCAATAATGAAGTAGAAGAAAGAGTTCTTGTTAAAGACACAATAAAAATATTCATTAAATTTTTAACTATGACACCTGACTTTTATCAATATACAATGTTACCTATAGATCCTGATGATTATTTCTTTGATGATCAATATTATATAAAAAGAAGAATAGGTAGTGGTCTTACTTCAATGGTCTATTCATTAATTAATGCAAATTATAATGAAACAGTTACTGATGAAACATATCGTATAATGAAAATTTGTAAAGACGAAGATTACTGTGAATTGTTGATGAATGAAATTGATATAGTCGAGCAATTAAAAAGTTTCAACGATCCAAATAATTTTAATTTATTTTTTTTAAATATTGAAGAATTTTCAGATGAAGGTAATACCTTTCTATTAAGCAAACTGATTGATTTTTAGAATTTTTTTGATTTAATTCAAAATCTACTAAAAAAAAGTGAGAATAGAGTAAAATTTTGTTTGATTTTGAAAGAATTTAGAAAAATTATAATCAAAAAAAACTTTCAATAGAATTTATTTCAACGAAAGTTAGAATAAAAGAAAAGCAAATTGATATTAATATAAATAAATAATTAAAAAGATTAATTTATTTTCAAAACAAAATCTAATTTGAAATATATTTTGTTTTTTCTTTTTTATTGATTTCATAGAAAATGAATTTGAAAGAAAAACAAAAATGATTTAAATTTTTAAAATAATTGACAATGATATTTCTTAATATTGGAGTTTTTTTTTTTTTTTTGAAAGATTTTGTATAAATAATAATAATTAACAAAAAAAGGAAACTATAGAAATTTAAAATTATTTCTATATAAACAAATATAAAAATTAAAAAGAAAATATTTTAATCAAAATTCTAATTTAATATAATAAAATAGAATTTTTCTTTATTTTCATGAATAAGTTGTTAAAAGCTTAAATAGATTAAAATAAAAGAATTTTCTATATAATTATCTTTATTTAAATGAATGATTTGATGCTTTGCTTCTTTTTTTAAGAGTAAAGATTGTTTTTCTTATATTTATGAATGAAAATCAAGTAATTTATATTAGAATTTTTTAACAATTTCTAGAAAAATTTTAATATAAATTATTAAATAAAAATTTTCTTGAATATTTCATAAACATTTCGAAAAATTATGATTAAAATTAAATTTTTTTTGTTTAATGTATTAAGCTTGAAATAAATGAAATTCATTAGATTCATTCGAATATTGAATAAGAATTTAGAAGATCAATATATATATATATATATATATTTCTATTTATATAGAAGTATTGAAATAAGAAAAATAATAATTATTATGTTCTTAATAATTGATTGATTATTTTTATTTAATTTATATGTTAAGTAAATAAATTCAACTAAATAGTTGAATCAATAAAAATGAATATTTAATATCATTTTGTAATGATTATAAGAAATTGTTTAATATAGAAAAATTTCTTAATTTATATTAAACAAAAAAATTAAAATAAATGAAATTTATAAATTAATTAAAAATAAATCAATGAAAATTAAAAAAATTTTTATAATAAAATTTTATTAGAATGTTCTTCGATTATTGTTAATTATATGTTAAAAGATATTTCTTATTTGTTTCATGAATGAAAATAAATTCTAAAATGTAAATTATGAATAATTTGAAATTATTAAATAAACGAAAGAAATTATTTAATATTAATTAAATTTTTATTTATTAAAATAATAAGAAATATTTTTTTTTTGTTTAACATTCGTTTTTGTTAACATCATTCAAATAATATTTTATCTTATTTATAATATATTTTAATTTTCTTTTTAGGTAAATTTATTATATTTGAAAAATCATTGATGCCTTTAGAATCAATAAAAATATTTCAAGCAGAACAACTTATTAGTATCATGGAATATTTATATAAATCTCGTATAATTCATCGAGATATACGTCCACAAAACGTGATGCATGATATACACCATAATAATTTAAAATTGATTGATTTTGGCTTCGCTACAGCATTGAAAAATGATGAAAATACAAAAGAATTAGAAGTTGAAGGTGTTATTTCATATGGTGGTCTTAAATTTCTGAAACTTTATTTAGAAGGATTAGAAAAAAAAACTTTTTTTACATATCAATATGAAAGAACTTTTGATCTACAATGTTCATTAAATGTTATAATGTATTTCAAGGATTCTACAATTGCAACAAAAGTCAAGTCATTCAAGCATTTATCTCTTCAAAAAAGAGCTACTACATCATACGAATTCTGGCTTGAACTCAAACAGAATGATAAAAATTATAATGATTTATTAAATTTAATTGAAAATGTATCAAATGTATTAGATTTTCAAACTATCAAACGACGTATTAAAGTATTGTTCGAATGAACATAACAATTAAGGAGATTCATGTAACTTATAGACAATTAATTGGTCAGATTTTTTCTTTTTTGTTTCATTATTATTGTATTTTCTTTTTCTTGTTATTTTCTTTTTTTTGATCGTGTACTACTACTTATCTGTGACATAAATATAAAGAACATTATTGATAGAGAAAACAAATGAGTTGTTTTATTGCTTATTGCATTTTTTATCGAATCTGATTGGATACGAAGAAATCCTAATGATTAATTTCTCTTTAAATAGGATATTTTCTTTTCGAATAACTTCTGTCATAATCTTTAAATAGGATTAATATATAAATATATACTTTTTTCATTTTCGTTGAAAAAAAAAATAAGTAATAGAATGTAAATAAATGTGGAAACCTCGGATTTAAATCCGAGAGTTATGTGTACTTCAAAAAGTGAATGAGACAGATGAGTCACCCTAGAATGTGTGGACATCAAAATTGTCCTGGCTAACTCAGCAATGGTTCGGCCAATCATTCTCACCTTCGAATTCGACCGAGATATTGTTAAGACTAAACTGTGTAGAAAATTTCATCGTGATCGGACTCTCCTTTCAAAAGTTATTGTGTTAACGGCCGGACATACTGACCGATTCTAGAGTGTACTCACTTTTTGAGTACACAAAAAAAGCAACTTTCGTATAAACATTAATCAAATGGAAATAATACATATGTAATATTTAAATAGATTCGGTTGTGTTCTTTTTATTAAATTTCACATATAATTATTCATAGATCTTTGAATACAATAATACGAAGTATTCATCTTTATCTAAACAGATTTCTACTTGATAAGAATTCTTTATTACTCAAAATTTCTTTCTAAAAGAAAAAAAAAACATTATTAAAGACAGTGTTCTATCGCATTTGTAAAATAATCGTTTCTTTTTTCAGTAAACGAACGGTACAAAAAAAAACTCGTTTAAATCTATGATAAATGAGTAGATTAGACACTTAAAAAGCAATCACATTCGAACTATATTTTAAATAAAATACCGCCATTTTTTTATATATTAAAATTCGCTGATTAGTAAATGAGTCGATATAAATTTACTACGTCATAAGAAGTTATTTTTGCTGCGTCATGATTAACCTCGGTGTGTATTTCGAACGCAATAAAAACGAATTTATAACGAGAATATGTTAATATATTTTGTATATAGGTAAAAAAAAACATGTATCAGTATATTTATCTATCTATTCTATATTAATATATATATATATAGTAAGATTTTGTAATGTCAAATTTACTTGAACAACTTCGTGAATCAACAATAATAGTTGCTGATACAGGTGATTTTGAATCAATAAAAAAATATAAACCAACTGATGCAACAACAAATCCTTCATTAATATTAGCTGCTGCTAATATGAAACAATATGATAATTTAATTGAAGATGTTATTAATAAATGTCGAGAAAATAGTTTAACAACAACAACAAATGAACAAACAATAATTGATGATATAATTGATAATATATTTATTTCATTTGGTGAAGAAATTCTTAAAATAATACCAGGCCGTGTTTCAACTGAAGTTGATGCACGTCTTTCATTTGATTGTCAAGGACAAATAAATAAAGCTAAACATTTAATTGATTTATATGAAAAACGTGGAATATCAAAAGAAAGAATTTTAATTAAATTATCATCAACATGGGAAGGTATACAAGCAGCTAAAGAATTAGAAGATAAATATGGTATACATTGTAATATGACATTAATTTTTTCTTTTGTACAAGCATTAGCATGTGCTGATGCTCAAGTTACATTAATATCACCTTTTGTTGGAAGAATTTATGATTAGTATGTTGAAAAAAAAGGAAAACATGATTTTAATATTGAAGAAGTTCCTGGTGTTGTAAGTTTAACCATTGCTTTTTTTTGTTTTCATAAAATAAATAATATTATTTAGATGAGTGTAACACGTATTTATAATTATTATAAACAAAATAATATAAAAACAGTTATTATGGGTGCTTCTTTTCGAAATATAAAACAAATTCTTGGTTTAGCTGGTTGTGATTTATTAACAATAAGTCCAAAATTACTTGATCAATTAGCATTAGAACATACGAAAGATAATGAAAAAATTCAAATTTATTTAAATAAAGAACAAATAAAACAGAAACGTGAAAAAAAACATGAAAAACTTGATGAAAAAATATTTCGTTGGATGTTAAATGAAGATGAAATGGCTAATGATAAATTATCTGATGGAATACGAAAATTTGCTGCTGATGCTCAAAAACTTGAAGATCTTATTCGAGTTCGTCTTCAAAATAATAAATAAATAAATTATTATTATTATTTATCTTCCTTTATTCATATACACTCATCTTATTCAATTCATCCAAAAAAACTTTTCTTTATTATTTATTCGTCCGTTTCTTTTTTTTTTTATTGTGATTTTCCTAGAAATAAACTTTATTCAACAAATTGTTGAAAAATCCATCACTTGATTGAATTACAATATGACATTTCATATGTAGTTTACAGATCATTTAAAAAAATGTTTTTTTTTTGTTTTTTTTGAGAAAAAAACAAACTTTCTTCAGTCTATGTCAATCTTTCATCATTTGATTTCATACTCATTCAACATTAGGAATAGCAGTTTAGCGTTAGTATTATGATTCGAAAAGTTTTAATCTAATGCTAGTGCCTTTAGTTTCCAAAAAACAAAAAAAAAAAGAACAATTTTATTCAGTTATGGAAAACTACTCTCGATAAAAGAATAAAACGTTAGAATACAAATAATTCTATTCGTATTATAAATTAAGTCTGATCATAGTTTATGTAAGAAATCTGCTAGTTGTATTTAACAGTTAAATAACAGATATTTTTGATCTTAGAGATAATTTTATTAAATTGATATTCTAGTAGATTGATTAGATTATGAACGTTTTTCAATAATAACAAAAGAAAAAATAGTTCAAGTTCATTTTAATATAAAGAAGTGATTTATATTTATTCTTGAGACTATCTTTATTTCTTTACATCAATATAATTTTCATCAGATTGTTTACTTGACGATTTTCAACTTTAGAGAGTAAATGATTTGTTAATAAAACTCTAAATTTATTTTATATATTAACATATGATTGAAATGAATATTTACTATTATAATAAGTCTCTTTTTGAATAATATTTAATGAACTTATCGTAAAATATTCATGATGAAAACATATCTATGTGAGTTTTTATATTCGATAATGAATCAAACAGGTAAGTTCGAGACAATAATTGTAAATACTTAGGGGTATCCAAAAGTAGTGGCAACGACATTTTAGTACCACTTAGTAAGCTTGATAAAAGTTTCTTTTTACACAGGATGATAGAGAAAAAAATGCTCTTTCTTTCTATGCTATTTGATCATACTTCAC